CGTTTCCGGCCCTATAAACACGCGCCGCGGCTTCCGAGTTTCCACCGCGTCCCGGCGGGCGCGCGCCCAGCGGGGAGGGACCTGGCCCTGGGCTCGGTCGGGCGCTGAGCGGGTGGGTCGCCCGGAGGAGGCCATGGCCACCCTCTGACCCGGCCTCAGTGCCCGGCCAGGCCTTCAGACTCGCGGGTCTTGGGGGCACACCCTGGTTCCCGCCTCCGAGGTGGCACCGACCCGCCTCCGCAGCAGGACCGCAGGCCGCCATGCCCGCAGGGGGCCTGGCCGGAGTGTCCGGGAATGAAGAACCGGAGCCCTTTCCCCGCCAGAGCGCCCTGAGTGACTGCGCCATCCCCTTCTTGCGCCGGGTCAGGGACCAGGCCGGTCAGCTGAGCCCAGAGCCGGGCACCAGGCCGCTTCCCGGCGCGCGCTCCACGGAGCAAGGGCTCAGCCCCACGTGGAGGACGAAGGTCCTCTAGACCTAGCCCCCCTCCCCGAGGAGCAGCGCGGTACCCCCGCTGTCTGCTTGCAGCGGCATTCGCTATGGTGGCCTGCGATCACACTAGTCGGCCCTCAGGTTGGCCTGGTCAGGGTTCTCCGCGCCAGGATGCCCCACATGGCGGCCCGCATCCTACACGTGAGAAGCCGAGAGAGGCCAAGGCCAGCCCTTCTATCCCGGTCACCAGTGTGCCCCCCTCTATAGCTTCAGTGGCTTTGCGCCAGGAGTCACGTTCATAGCAGGCCAGGGTGAAGACCCACCGCCCGAGGGGCTGGGGCGGAATCCCTTCCACAATCTCCAGCCTCCTTTCTGCCCTGGGGGCCGCTGGCCCTGCGGGCAGTGCTTTTTCAGGAAGCACACAGCCCGCCAATCACTCGGCCTCCCGAAGCTTCACGCCTAACCTCTCGTCAAATTGCTGGTTTTCTCCAGTGATAAACTATGGTTGGTTTGGCCTGATTTTGTTTCTAATAATAGTTAGATGTATATTGGAGGGTTGTTTTGTTTTACTTTGCTTTTTGCTGACCTTCGGGCAAACGGAAGTCCTGGTTTCTGTTGAGAAACGTGCCAGTTCATTGTCATTCTCCACTTCAGTCACCTCCTTGTGGCCGCCAAAGACTGTGCCCAGACCTCAGGCCTTCTTGACAGTCTGACTCTGAGGCACCCTGCTAGACAGAGATGGGCCCCACGGGGTCTCCACAGCTGTGGTGTTGACAGGTGCAGCCTCATCTTCCTCTTGTGGAGCTCCTCCTGGGTTCAAACGCTGAACTTTCATTCAGCAGTGACAGCGTCAACTTCTGTGCCATCTGTATAGACAAGCCTTTGCCCACCTCTCTGCAGAGTAAGTGTGCCTATATTCTTCTACATGCACTAGTCCCCTCTGAGCCACAGGCCTAAAAGAACCCAGGTCACAGGACAATGAGAGCTGGATGACAGCTGGGCATCCCCAAGGCTCAGGCCCCCAACTGGCCTGTGGGCCCTCTCTCTGGCATGTCAGGGCCTCCCTCTGCACAGGCCCAGCATATCTGGCTTGATCTAAGTTGCCAAGTCAGCAGCTCCGCTGCTCTTGGTGGACATGTTTAGTTTGGCAGCACTGGAGCACGCTAATAGGATATGAACCTGGAGTGTTGGGTGTGACCGGGCAGGGGGCAAGTACTGGTGTATTCTAATCTGGATTAGGAAAGAATGCCTAGGCAGTAGTGCAAGGAGAACAGGGCTGGCTTTGTTGTGTGGGGAACAGCTTCTAAAGGGGTTCCAGCCGCTCTGCATGGGAATAGAGGCAGGCCTTCCTGGCATCAACCAGATGCTGGGGCTCCCAAAGAGGGCTAGAGGGGGGAAGCCAGCATCCTGGGCCGGCTGGAAGTCTGCGCTCCACTGCTGTCCACTCTGCCTTGTGCCTGGAGAGTCCTTCAGCCCCAGCTCACCTCACAAAAGTGCGTCCCCATTCAGTGACCCAAAAGGCAAGGCCGCTCACTGTCCAGCCACCGGTGTTTTCAAACTTACTCCCAGCTCGGAAGACTGGGAAAGTGCTGTCCCCAACCAGCACAGTCCCTACTTAGGGAGAGACAGAAGGCCACTGCTCCAGGAGGAGACAGCCGAACTTGGAAGCGGCATTAAGACCTGTTTTTTTAAGGAGTGAAAAGAAAAATTTTGAAATAAGTATCCAAAGACTTAGAAGCAAAACTTGTGAACAAAGAATATTTTAAACTTTTCTCATAGCAAGAGCTCATCACAAAAACAGCATGTGATTTTGAACACACAAACTTCTTTAAACTTGAATGAACTGGCAAGAGGCATCAGCAATGCCTGTGTTCTCTGATACAAAAGACAATCTTCCCAGGCGGAGGGCGCAGCACGCGGGGTCATGGGCCTGATCTCATCTTTGTGGTTCCAGTTCTCTACAGTCTCCAGCACGATGAGGACTAAGCGCCATGTCACTCCAATTACTAGAAGCGGCCGAGACAGACGGAGACTGCTTGTGTGGCACAGGACTGATCTGCTGCCTCTCTCAAAAGAATTCAAACAAAATGCCGCTAAGGAGTTGGAAAGGCACCTGCCAACCTTCTTCATTGGTCTGCCATCCAAAACCCTAAAAGTGACCCTAATCTCAGGCGCAGGAGTATCCTGGAGCTACCCAGCAGTGAGGGGCAGGACTTTGTGCTGAAATCCGCTCGGTCGCACCTCACTCGATAAGGCAGCACTGGATTTCAGGGCCACAAAGGTGTCTTATTTTGCCCCCTTCCCTTACAAAGACCCGCCATGAAGCTTGGCAGTCACTTTTCAAGCTGCCATGAAATGTTTATACAGTGGGGTCCCTCGGCCCTCAGGGCTGAGCCGGCTTTAATGCGAGGGCGTCTGTCTCCTACTCCTTATAAAAGGTTTTTCACCTCCTTAGCCTCCGGTCTGATTTTGCCCAGGAAGGCAGTACCACCAGCCGCACTGGCGACGCAAAGCCCAGCCCCAAGAAAGGCCCACCTCACCCAGACAGCCGCACGAGGTGCTGGAGCCGGGCACATCGGGCGGCAGCCGGGCCCTCTTTCTCAAGAGCATCACTCACAGCTCTCCCCACGCGTCGCCAGGACATGTGGCATCTGAGCGACTCCACAGCCCAGAGTATGTGCAGCCAGCACAACCAGGAGAAGACACGGATTGGCAAGACGTCGCATCCAAGCCTGAGCTGTCGCGGGCAAAGCCAGGGGGACGTGCTGGCAATCAGCTCCCGCGCGTCCTCCGCGCCCCCCGCCGCCCGGGACCTGGGACCCTGCAGAGGCGCCGGCGGCAGGCGCAGGGTGCGGGGCGGGGGGCGGCCGCGCCGGGTTACCTTCCTCCGCGGACTTCATGGTGCCAGTGGTGCGCTGCGCGGGCCCCGCGGTGTGTCCGCTCCCGCAGGCTGCAGCCGGTGGGCCGAGTGGAAACTTGGAAGGGACTGGAAAACTCGAACTTGGCATCCACGCGGTGACAGCGAGGAGCCGAGGACGAGCGGCCCGAGTCCCGCGGCCTCTCCGCTGGCTGTGGCCGCCTCGGGGGCGCGTCCTCTCGGCGCAAAGGCGCGCGCGTCGCCCCGACGGAAGCGCTGCCGGGTTGGGCTCAGAGCCGCGCCCCGCGCGAGGATGACATGAGGCGCGCGGCAGGCCGGCTGCAGCCTCGCAGCTGGGGCGGCGGGAGCCTCGGGGAGCGCTCCCTGCGCCCGGTGCCCTGCGCTGCGACTCGGCGCGGGCGACCCTGGCCGCGAGTTTGTGGAGTCTCCGAGCCTCGCTCTGACGCAGGGCCGCGCTCGGCTCCTGCCTTTTTAAAGCT